TGCCCTTGCACTGTTCACCATGTAAGAACTTATTCACTATGTAAGAACTTGTTCACCATGTAAGAACTTGTTCATTATGCTTCAGAAGATTGGAGACTGTTGAGAATTAGGCTTGGGGTTGATTAATGATTGTGCATTGAGTCCCCTATACAGAATTTTATTGTTGTTAACAACCATATGATCAATAAATATGAGAGATGCCCTCTCAAAAAAAAAAAAAAGAATGTATTTGTACTGCTGTTTCTATGCAGGTAGAAGAAATCTATTCAGTTAGGTTGCTCTTCTACTAACAGTAGACCATTCCGTGAGGATGCCATTTAGAAAAATGTGGAGGGATACGGAGTTCAAGCCACTGTGTCGTCAGAACCCTAGAAGAGGAAGACAAAGGCTACCATAACCTCTTTCTCCAGTACAAGCAGTTTTTTAAAATGGCACAGTGGATATTGTCTCAACTTTCCTACCAACTGTTTTGAAGTTATAGAAAATAATGCCTACCTTCACCAAATTCTGATAAAAATAAATATTTCTGATAGATGTAAGTTCAACTTTTTCTTAATTAATGATTACTTAAACATCAGAGAATCTCAGAATTGAAAAAGAGTTTGTACATTTGGTCCAGACTTCTATTTATTGCAAGAATTCCTTCTACGATATTCAGTTGGTCATCCAGCTTTCTGACCATTTCCAGGAATCAACAGTTAACTCCTTCTTGAAGCAATCTCTTTTTAAACTGCATTAACTGTTACAAAAACCTTTCTTAATGAGCCTGTCTTTAAGTTCTTCAGATCTGTTCAGAGACATTAAACAATAACACTGACTTGGGCATGTTTGTCTTTTTTTCTGATTTTCAAGGGAATACATCTAATGTTTCTTCCTTACATATTTTCTGTATATTTTTGGTAGATAGCTTTTATTAAGTTAAGGGAGTGGCCGTCTAATCGTTTTTTTCCTCTCATCATATGCTGAATTGTATTTAGTAATTGTAATGCTTTTATTGGAATAACTGTTCTTTCTTCTTATTACTTGAAGAGTAACAGCAATAGAATTTTTTATGTTTATTCTTTCCCTCTTATGATAAACCCAACCTAGTCATGATGTTATTTTTTAATATAGTGTTGGATATAACTTACTTAATTCATAAGAAAACCTAGCTTATGATTTGCTATCTTTATCTGGTTAGGGGTCAAGATTATTTTTTACTGATAGGAGGTAGCATCTACTATCTTCTGGAAAAACTAAAAGGTTTATTCCTTGAAAGTTTGCCCTCTGGGACTGGGCTTTAAGAGAACTTTTATTACCTTTTCAATTTTTTTAATTGTTACCGTTAAAAAATTATTTTTTCTATTTTAAAAATTGAGGTATAATTGATATATTAGTTTCAAGTATACAACATAATGATTTAATAATTGTATATACTGTAAAATGATCACCACAAGTCTAGTTAATAATCATCACTACATATAGTTACAGAACTTTGTTTTCTGGTGATTAGAATTTTTAAGATCTATTCTCTCAGAAACTTTCAAATATGCACTACAGTATTATTAATTATAGTTGGCATGCTGTACATTACAGGCCCATGACTTACTTATCTTATAACTGGAAATTTGTACCTTTTGTTTCCCTTGAACCATTTCGCCTACCTCTACCCCCGGCCTTTGGCAACCACCAATCTATTCTCTGTACATCTATGAGTTTGGGTTTTTTTGTTTTGCTTTGTTTTAGAGACCATATGTAAGTGAGATCATATGGTATTTGTCTTTCTCAGTTTGACTTACTTCACTTAACATAATGCCTTCAAGGTCCATCCATGTTGTTGCAAATGGCAAGATTTCATTCTTTTTTTTTTATGGCTGACAGACAGATAGACAGGTAGACAGATGACACAGTGCCTTGAACTCAGTATCCCTCCACATTTTTCTAAATGGCATCCTCACAGAATGGTCCACTGTTGATGAAACAACCTAACTGAATAGATTTCTTCTACCTGCATAGAAATAGCAGAACAAGTACATTCTTGTAGTTATCCTGAAGAACAGACTAAGGAGTGATGCCTACAGAAACTGATTAATTTTAAAATGTGAGTAAAATGCATTTATAGATGAAAATCTGTGTTGCTTTTTCTATTATGATAGTGTGATAGAAGGAAGCACATGAGCTTTAGAGTCAGAGTGATAGGGATCCTGGGTCAGCTACTAGCATTTGTGACCTTGGATGAGATACTTAAATTCCCTGAGCCTCAATTTTTCCTATGGGAAGGCAGATGAAACTTAACCCTGTATGGTTAGTGTTCAGAACAAAAGCAATATATGTAAACAAACACATAATTTATGGACCAGATTATAGTAGACATTCAATAAACGGCCCCTTTCTCCTCCACAGTTATGCTGACTGGCCCACCTTAAAACCATAACCATGAATATCAAATGGGCGACACTTCACTTTCTCTCTCTCAAAAAAAAGACTATTTTACACCTCCTTTTCCCTCTGATCTTCTGATCTCTCTACATTTCATTGCCTTGTAAATCACAGAGAAAACAGAAGCACACAGACAACCCTTAGCCCAGAGCACCAAATTCTCAACTATGTCAGCACTCTCTGCATTCCCCCTGAGGATACAGCACCCCTGGATCCCATCTACATTAATTCCTCCACAGTGCTTCGGATCCTATCCTTTTTCACCTTCTCAAGAACTTCACTCCTTCAATAACTTCCTTCACTACCATATCATCAATTTCTTCCTCTTGGCTGGACTGTTTCTATCAATAACAAATACACTCCAGAACTGTGCTGTGTAATACAAAAGTCACTAGACACATGTGGCTATTCAAACACATGAAAGTGAAATTAGATTAAAAGATTGGTGGTGCTCATCACACTTCAAGTGCTCACTAGGCACATGTTGCTTGTGGTTGCCATACTGGATAGTGAGGATCACGGAACATTCCTGTTATTGGGGAAAGTTTACAGGATGGCACTATTCTAAAATATCCTATTTTGAAAACAAACAAATACCCTCGCCCCTGATCCTACATTCATATGGAGGCCACTGACTCACTTCTTTGTTCCCTTTAACAACATTTCTTAGAACAATTACCTGCAGCCACTACCTCCACTTTTCCAAATCATTTTCTCCTTAATCTACTCATATCATGCTCTCCTCTCCGAACTCTAATGAAACCACTCTTATCAATGTCATTAAAGATGTTCATGATGCTATACTCCTACCTCAGTGTGCCACAGAAATATCTGGGGCAGCTGATTACTCCTTCCTTCTTCCATTCTGGGACACTACACTCTTCTGGTTTTCCCGGCTCCCTTACTACCACTCCTTTCCTATCTTTCCAGCTGTTCTCTCAATCTGCTGTTGAAAGAAGAGCTAAAAGAACAGAGCATAATTCTTCCAAGGTAACCTCATATAATCCTCATGTTTTAAATATTATTCATGTATTGATGACTCAAAACTCTTCTTAGTCCTAATCAGTCCCTAAAGCACCAGATCTGTATATCTGTTACTTAACTGACATTTCTCTTAGAAGGATAATAGGCATTTCAATTTTAACATATCCAGAATAGAACTCTTGATGTTGGGGGATTTTCTATCCTCAGATTTGCATTAATACAGCCTCAATCTCAACAAATGGCCTTAGCATCTATTTAGTTTTGAGTCAACACTTTTTCTCCCCTCCACTAATAGAATCCATCTCCAAAAACTTATCCCGAATGTTTACACACTTCCATCTCACTGCTGCCCCTGTAATCCCAGCCATGATTTTTTTCCTACTTAGATGACAATAGCTTCATATCTGGTTTTCTTTGCTTTCACTCAGCTGTTCTCTAATAGCAAGCAGAGTGAGCTTTTAAAACATAAGCTTAATTATGTTCTCCCTGCCTAAAAGCTTTCTAATGCTTCTCACTGAACTAGAAGTAAACCTCTATATGATCTGGCCCCTGCTATTCTCTCCAAACTTTTCAGCCACTTTTCCCTTTATTTATTATGCTTCAGCCATAGTGGCCTTTTTTCTGTTCTTCAAATGCTCTAAATTAGCTGCAGCCACAGGACTTTTACATTAGCATAAAGTGTTCCTTTGCCTGGACCACTCTTCTCCACGATTTCCATAAGCTGGTTCCTTCTTGTCATCAAGGTTTCAGTCTTCTTCAATATGACTTTCTGAGTGAATCTCACATAGGCACCCATGTCTACCACATGACTATGTTTTGTTTCTATTATAGTAGTGATCACTGGTATTTTCTTATTTATCAATTTATTGTTTAGTGCATTTGTTTGCCCCCTGGACTATAAACTCTTTGAGAACAGAGACACTGTCTTGTTTATCATTACATCCCTAGTGCCTTATCTGGCATAAAGTGGGAGCTCAAAAAATATATGTTGCATAAATGCTTATATCATCTGCTACTTTTATCTACATTTTAAAAGAAGTGTTCAATTTCTAGACAAGGGCAATTTCTACCATATTTTCTTTAGAAATGTTCAACATTTTCCAATGATTTTATTCTGGTTTGTATAAGTGGCATTCATGGTCAGCATTCAATCTTGGAAGAAATACTAAATTATACACACATGCCACCCATATTTGTAAAAGTTAAAAACCCTAACGGCTTAGAAACAACATTAAATTCAACAGTTTGGAAGCTTTGAAACTTACCCTCTGATAGCACTGAGGCAGAGTATTTTCCAACAAGGGAGGAGTTCTCTGCATTAATATCCCAGCAGACTCTTTTAAAAGAGGAATAACACTAAAGAAAAGGAAGACAACAAATTCACTTAAAGCCACATTCTGACAATCTCATCCTCTAAGAAAGTGATAAAATACCTTCCTGTAGAATATAGTAAGATTTGAGGAAAAAGAATCCAATCATTGTTCTAAATTTTTCACGTGATCAGTAAGTTATTATCCAAAGTAAAAGTTAAGGGCTAGATAAAGTGTATCAATGTATGAAAAGCTAAACTTATACTACTGAAAAGTATTGGAACATCTGAAACTCAAGGCACAGATGTTCAACTGTTATTTAAAATACAACTTCAAATGGCCAAAATCCTCCAACACAATTTATAAAGCTTATCATGGCTGACTGGTACTTGACAGTTATCAAATATTTCCATGCATTTATCTGGATAGTACTGTTAAGGAAAATACAAAAAAAATAATATGGCACATTAGTTCATTTGTCCAATATTTTTCCAACTTGATTATATATCAGGGTTTTTTTTCATTATTTAAAAAATAAAAAAGCCTGGATATAACCACAGATCTAGTGAATTAGCACCTCTAATGATAGGGCTAAAACGTCTGTATGTATTGATGCAGCTAGCCCTCAGCCAGTACTTGGAAATCACCACTTTATACTATGTGGATGATTAAATTAAACTATTGCATTAAAATCACCCTCTCCCTTACAAAAACAATACTGTAATGTGAGGGTGATTCTAATGCAAGTTTTCTACACTAGCTACACATCAAATTCACTTGAGAGTCTACTTTGTGTTCATTTCTGACACTGAATCAGAATCCTTGAGGGAAGGTCAAGGTACCCACATTTTTTAAAAGCTTGCCAGGTGATTCCACTGAGTCAGCATGGTTAAGGCATTGCTCTACTGCTTGAGGCAGACTAAGAGAGGAGATCAGAAATAGCTTCATTACACTTAATAGCTTAAATCAGTGCTCTCTTTTAAACTATAGAACCTCAAAATTTCCAAAGTAAAATCACTCCTGGTTATAGCTTTATGAGACGGAGATAAAAGAAACATATACTTTTCAAGGAAGGTAGAAGTTGAAGTGTACCTTAAAAGATTACTGGTACTTCTCACATAAAGAAAGGAAAGAGAAGGTATTAATGAAGACCCAAAGGAACAGATGCAATGCCTGTCTTGTTCACTACTTTTTTCCTAAGTTGGCCTAGTAAAGTGCTGGTTACAAAGTGGGCCCACAATAAATACTTGTTGGCTAAATGAATGATAGATAAATACATATTAGATGTCTTAGCATCTAAGTTAAAAGATAGCTAACAGCCATAGGGAAGAAATTGGGAGACTGTTCCCATACTTTAAGTGTACTTGGAGGAGGAGAGTAACAACAGGACCAGAGACATCTTGGAAAATTAAACAGATATTGAGAGAAATAAACTGGTGTCTAACTGGATATAGTATAGAAATAATGAAGTAACATCAAAGATAGGCTTAGAAGACTAAAAGTGTGGAGGAGATGGCAGGAATGAAGATGAAAAGCTCACTGTGGAGAGAAGTTTAAGTCACATTCAAATGGTGATATACTTTAGTCAGATAGTAATTTAAGAGCCAAGAATAATTACATGTCACCCTTGATTCCTTCTTCTCTTAAGCCTTCCCATACTATAAATCACCAAGTTCTCAAGATTTAACATCCTAAATCTTTCTTGACTCCATCCCCACCCCTTCACTTGACTATACATGTCTACAGTAATACCCGTATCTTCAGCTGGATATTGTTACAGCCGCCTAAGTTGTCCCTTTGCCTCTGGTCTTATTTCTCAAGTCCTCTGTGACAGGCAGTGTCAAAGATGGATTCCAGACCTCTGTCTGCCTAGTATTCATGCTCTTGTATAATCCCCTCCCCTTGAGCAAGGGGTGGACACACTGACTTGCGGCTCATGAACAGAGTATGGCAAAAGTGATGACTTGCCACTCCTAGGATTAGGTTAAAGACTGGCTTTCATGCTGTTCAGCATGCTCTCTTGCTCTCCTGCTTGCTTGCTCATAGCTGCCATGTTGTGAGTGGTCCTAAGAGGCCCAAATTGCGAGGAACTTAGAGATACCTGTGGAGAGGAACTGAGACCCTCAGTCCAATGCCCAAAAGAAACTCAATACTGTCCACAACCACTTTAGTGGGCTTAGAAGTGGATTCTCCTCCGAATGAACCTTGGTATGACTGTAGCCCTGGCTGAGACTTGGCCACCTTGTGAGAGACCCTGGGCAGGAGAGCCCAGTTAGTCACACCCAGGTTCCTGAACCAAGGTAAACTGTAAGATCCTAATGTGTGTTATTTTAGCTCCTAGGTTTTTGTTATGCATCCCTAGATAACTAATAAAACCATTCTTTATACAGCTATTAGATTAATCCACCTAAAATCTGTATCTGACCATTAAAAAATCTCCATTAAAAATTTGTTAAAAGCTCCCCATTGCCTAGGGGATTAAGTGTAAGCTCTTTAACATGGTATATTTTTGGACCTGGCCCCCTCCAGCTTCATCTCCTATCCATCATTTTAAGCTCTCTAAACATAAACATACTTGCAGTTCACTTTTTTCTTTTTCCTCCTCCCATATGTTAGCCAATGCCATAACTTTTGCCTATAATGTTCCAGAACTACCCTTTAGTCTGGCTTCTAGGCCTTTAAAATCTCAAGTGTCACCACGTTTATGGTATATTTCCTGATCCCTGAATGTCATCTAAACTGTATGAAATATCCTCTGTGCCTCTATAAAAAAAAAATCTGTGACATCTATGGTAAGGTTAGAAGAAAAAATGGGTGGAAAGCAACTGAAGTGGGGTAAAGGATTTTGTCAATGAAAGAATATTGGTTATTCCTGTAGTGTCTGTTTCTGTCTGCTATGCTGTTAACAAGTAGGTGAGGATTCCCAGGCTTTAAAAAAAAGACAAAGAAAAACATAATGGTAGTCTAAGTAGGTATAATTCAGCCATTCAGACATTTTTCTTTCCTCTCTCCATCTTCATTTCTCAAGAAAAAGGATTAGTCATAGAATGTTTTTATATACCTCATTTACAATGCTTATGTCTTCCTACCTTCCTTACTGTTCTCAGAAAATGAGGCATAAAAATGGATCCCTTAGAATAACTGAGAATAAGTTTTTTTTCTATGTGTCTCCTAAGTTTAGCTACTTTGATAATTTCTTCAATCTTTATCCTAAGGAACTGCTAATAATGCCTGGAGATATTTGAGGTGGAAAATGCACTCACATGGAAATCATAATAGCTGGGCTCTAATTCTGCCATGAAATAGCTTTGGACAAATCATACAACCTTCCATGGCCTCAGTTTTCTCATCTATAAAATGAGAGAGTGGATTAAAAGTCAAGGCAATTTCTCCATTTTTCACTCAAAAAGGGAAAAAAGGGTCAAAGTATAATACTAGAGAGGAAATATATTTAGAAGGCAAACCAGTTTACTCCATCATCATTAGGTAATCCAACAAATTAATTTTATTTAATCAATACAAATAAACAAGTATTAAGTATACTTTGCTTGGCATCAGATTTTCCTAAATCAGAACAGAACCTAACTCTAGAATTGTGGAAGTGGAGGCTTAGAATTCCACAGTAACTTGCATACACACAAGTGCACAGCTAGAGAGTAGAGTAAACATACTTGCAGTTCACTTTTTTCTTTTTCTTCCTCCCATATGTTGGCTCATGCTATAACCTTTGCCTATAATGTCCCAGAACTACACTTTAGTCTGGCTTCTAGGCCTTTAAAATCTCAAGTGTCACAACTATGATAATAAGACCAAGTCTTTTGATCTCAAATTCAGTTTTGAGAAGTTCAAGTCAACAAACATGTATTATATGCCTCCTGTGTGCCAAGCATGGGAGAGGCACTGGAAATAGATAAATAGTATACAATACCTTACTTCAAAGGAATTCATAACTTCTGAAAAAGCTTACAGAGAAGTCAATGAAATGAAGCAATAAACACTTTTTCAGGACCGATTATTTGGAAGAAGGCACATTTGAGCTCAAAATAACTAGTTTATGCCTATATACATTTTCATTTCCCATGAACTTTTGGTGAAGTTTTATCAGCATGTTGATAACCTACTTCTAAACATACTTTTAAAAATAAAGTATGGAAAAAAAGGAATAGAACAGAACATGGACTCAACAGCAACAGAAGGCATACAATATAAGCAATGGTATTACTTAAGCAATAGGTGTCAAATAACTTAATGCAAACAACTATTAAACTATTTTAATATTTAATGTTTTAGAATGCCTATATCTACTCTAATTTTCTCCCAGAGAGTTAAAACACAGTAAGAGATGACTGAGCCTAATCTACAATAATCTTTGAGATGAGCCTTAAAACATTAAGGACATTCCCTTAATACAGCCTCTCCATTAAGTCACCAGAACCATCTATCAATTTATCCAAACCTTTGTTTAAATTTTTATGTGTATACTTCAAGTGTGTTTCCTCCCAAAGTCTGCTACTCCCTGCCACTCACTTGTAAAAACAAAACAAAACTAGCACTTCCCTTTTTCTTCTAAAATTCACTTTCACATGTTTGAGGATTCTACAGATGGTGAAGACGTTCCATGATCACAGGTAACACATTATTAGACTTAAGAGGAAATTAAGAGATAACTCATTTTAACATTTAAGAACCATAATGTAGATAAACATTTTAATAAAGTTAATGTTACAGGTAAACATTTATTTTAAAATAACTAAATAAAAGACATCATTACTGATATAAGTAAATAACATGAGCGCATTTTTTTTTTAGTTAAGGAGCCAGGAGGTTTTTACTGATTTTGCCATAGTATAAAATTTGGAATGGTTACCTACTTAGATAAAATTTTACTAAAATGTTTACATTCAGTAACAGCAAGCATTTCACCAAAGCACATGGGTATGTCACACTCATTTTCTCTGGTAGTAATTTTAAAATAATGTAAGAATTTCAGCAGTAGGAGCTATATAATTAGGTCATGAAACAATCGTGAGGGAGAAAAGGTGCCTG